GCCTCGCCTCCCGGCCGCCCCAGCCCGAGGTTCCTTCGGGTCGCCGCGCCCCGGGCTTGCCCTCCTGTGCCCTGGAGACTCTGCCCTCGCTGCGGTTGGCCCGTAGGGGCCTCGACCCGACGTTTGCCCTGAGCCTGCAGGTGCTTTGTGCGCGTCCTGCTCTCAGCCCTTGCGCGCTGGCCCGCGGTGGGATTCCCTCCTGCCGGGCGTGCCAGGACAGCGTCCCAGGTCTTTGTCGGGCATTGTCTGTTCCCGGGAGTCACAGAACTTGCCCTCTGTCCGCGCGGTCTCCTGGTTAGGACAAGGGTTAGAAGGATCGCGTAGGAGGGGTAAGGCAGGCTTGCTGCTTTGCACGCATCATTGCCGGTTTAACTTCCGCAGTCCCTGTGAGCCTTTCCCCTGCTAGTGAACAGGTGATAAACAACAGTGCAGAGCTTGCAGGGTTATTTGAAGAGTGAGTGAGATAACAGTTGATTCGGGTAATGTGCTTGGTGGGTGGTGAGGGTTCGGTTGATGTCACCTGTTAGCAACAGTGTCGTAGGCTTATGGTTAATTTCGTATTGAACGTTGAGATGTGAAAAGTTTTTCCTAAAATGTGTTGAAGTTTTATATTCTTGGGCATGCTTGTTTTTAAAAAGCACTGCCCTTTTAGATTTTTTTGAGGTAAGAATTTGCTCGTAATTTCATGGGTTAGCAGCTGAGGGAAATTTATGTAATGGGATCTAGAATAGCTGTGGGTCCCAGGGTACAGGGTAGCGAGAAGCAGGACCTAGAGGGAGAGTTTTGGGATATAGATAAGATTGCTGAGGGTCAAAGATTTATATGTCTGACCCTTATGCCTCTTAGGCACTGGGCGCTCAATTATGGAAGACTAATTTGTTCCCGTGCCCTCCTCCACTCCCTCGTCCACACCTGCCCCTACCCTGCCCTTGCCTACCTTTGACCTCCTCCTGATGGCTTTCTTCAGTGATTACCTTCTTGAAAAGTTGTGTAAAAGTCAGGACGTTGGCCGGGCGTGGTGGCGCACGCCTGTAACCCCAGCACTCTGGGAGGCTGAGGTGGGAGGATCGCTGCGAGTTCGAGGCCAGCCCGGGCTACAAAGTGAGTTCAAGGCCAGCCTGAACTTCATAGTGAGACCCTGTCTCAAAAAAACAGACAAACAACAAGTCAGGACATGCATTGAATGTGTATGTAACTAGTACTTAAGGGAACCTGAGTGCTTTTATATATGGGAATTACCCCACCCAGAGTTCGAGTTTGGATATGTCACGTTGTTTTAACATCTGTTCTGTTTCTTCATACTTCTGCTTTCCTTCTCATTGGCACATTTTCTCATGATGGCCTTGTGCTTCCTTTTAGACTTTGGAGCTACAACTAGATTTCCCAGACCCACATGTCAACGGTTGAAGTTTAAAATAATTAAAATGAAATAAAATTATTCAGTCCAGTTATGTTACTCACATTTCAAGGGCTGAGTAGTAGCTGCTTGTGGCTAGTGGCTGCCGCACTGGACAGTGCAGTCTGAAACATCTCTGCTACGGCACAAAGCTGAGTCGGATGCAGCCATTCTGACTTTGAAGTCTTAACATTTAGCTATCAGTCACTGAAGGTCAAGAAAACTCCTTTTACTCCAAAATGCCTTGATGCAGTGCTTTATATTTTGTGATGATTTAGATTACAAAGGGCTTTTATATATGTTATCTCACTTGACTCTTAAGACAGTTCTATGATGTAGAGAGGGCAGGTAAGTGGTAATAAAATATTCATGTTAAGTAACTGGCAAAACCAGAGCTAGAATTTAATTAGCTTTGGTTTTTTTGAGCATCATGGTAATTGATAATCATTTTTTTGTGTGGTGCTGGGGATCCAGATCTAAAGCAGGGCTTATGAATGCCAGGCCAGTGCTGTACTACTTAGCTGCACCCCCAGCAGATAAATCTGTAGTCCATAGTTTAGTGAGTCATTTGGGAGAAGGTTATAGGAAGTAGGGGGCCTTAGACTGGGGGCTCTTTTTCTGGCCCCCAGGAAGAGGGTGGGCATCAGCAGCTGTGGCTTTCTTTTCTACTTAATAACCTTGTGGGATCTGTAGCACAGCAACCCCTGTCAGTTTTGTCATAGTCCTGCTGTGATCAAGTAGAATAAACGGGAAAGATGTGTAAAGAGCAAGTGAAGAAAATACAGTAGTTGTTTGCAGTGATGGTTTATGATGATAGATTTTGAAGGATTATATTTATTTCCCAGTATATGAGATCTTGCCTCATTTGGGACTAGCTAAGTTTTTTACCAGTCCTTAGAACTGGAGAAAAAACCATAAAACCCACCATCACCAATCAGTAATAGGGAACAAATAAAAATTACTTAGGATACTAGGGAGGTAGCTCAGTGGTAGAGCACTTGCCTAGTATGCACAAGGCCCTAGGTTTGATTCCCAGCATCAAAACAAACAACCCCAACAAAATCAAAATAAACCAGAGATATTTGGGTAAAGTACACATGTATAATGGTTTTTTAAAAATTTGTATAATGTTTTAAGGAACAAAGTATTACCACCAACTTTCTCTCTTTCAATTCTTTAAATTAAAATCAGTTTATTTCTTTAATTCACAGTTTGGCGAAGTCGCTATTTCAGTTTTGCTTAAGAATGACTTCCCATGTTCATCTAATGAATATTACGTTGAATCGGGACTGAAATCTGCATCTTTTGGACCTTAGGCTCTTTCAACTGTAGAATTACCTTTCCTCTTTCCTTTCCTTTCCTGTCCTTTAGTAAACTGATTAGTACTTTTACTTGGCAGTTTGTATTTTTTTAAAATAGTGTTGTACACCTTTAATGCATAGCAGCAGGTCAGGTCTTAGCAGGAAATGTTATCCCAATTTTAAAGAAAAGTCTGATGTGAAAAAATTCAGATTTCATTGTTGTAAACTTAGCTGTAATGTGCTCCAAAAGAACAGCAAACCTAAAACCTCAGGCTTTCAGTAATTCTAAAAATGGTAAAATTCTGTTATTTCCTGTAACTTTAGCATAGTGTGGGCAAGGCTACAGGTGTTTGTCCATATTAAGTCTCTGGATTTCTCATAGTCGTATTTCCATCAGGCTTTGGGACATTCTCATCTGGTTTTTCCATTGTTAAAGAGGTCTAGACTTGAACTTATTTCCAGCTTCTCTAAAACACTTCCTCCTGCTTTGTTGACCCCAAATTAAGCTGTACCACCAATTTCCCAAGCTGGAAGCCTCACCATTATTTCTTTCTTTTAATTTTCACTTATATAACAGTCTCGAAAACCTGCCATTCTACCTTGTGAGTAGTTCTTAAGTCAATGGCTTAACTTTGTTTAGTTTGTGCTCTTCTGTTAACTTCCAAAGTGGTCTCCCTGACTTGGCTCTTGGGGTGTCTTCATTCTCAGCCATTCTGCCCTGGAAAAATGGCAATTGTTTAGTTTAAAAATCATGATTAATATTTGAGAATAGTTTTTTCTTTGCCTACCCTGGGGATTGAACTCAAAAACAGGTGCTCTACCACTGAGCAACATTCCCAGCTTTTTTTATTTTGTATTTTGAGGCAGATTTTCATTAAGTTGCCCAGGCTGGCCTCAAACATGGGGATCCTCCTGTAGATTACAGGTGTATGCCACTATATCTGGCAAGAGTACTTGTTTTTAAAGGTTTTTTTTTTTTTTTGCTGTAAAATTTTGGTGAAAACAGGTTCTTATGAGGGACCCACATACACATACACACACACACACACACACACACACACCCAACAGGATCATCTTTTAATTAATTATCGGAGTCATCTTTTTTCAGGGTCATCATATCAGGGATGATATCCAGTTAGTGGGGCTTCAGTTACCTCATTTGTGAAATGAGATAATTGGATTTGATAATTTTCAAGATATTTATAGCTATGCAGTTATTTAATTCTGGGTTTTATTTATAATAGAATTTTCTTTGGTGGACTGTTAGCATCTGTTGGCATCTTTTTTCTTTTTTGGACTACATAGTGAGACCAAGCTGGCCTCAAACTTAAGATGCTCCTCTGTCCGCCTTCTAAGTGCTGGGTGTGCTGGGTGTGCCTTCATACCTGGTTAACTCATTATTTTAAGTTGAAGACTCTCTTTTTGTTTTTGTTTATTGATTGATTGATTGTCTTTTTGAGACAGGGTCTTGCTGTGCAGTTCAGGCTGGCCTTGAGCTCACTTTGTAGCCCAGGCTGGTCTTGAACTCTCAGTGATCCTCCTGCCTCAGCCTCCCAAGTGCTGGGATTACAGGCATGTGCCACCGCACCTGGCAAGAATCTCTTTTTAATTGGGAGTAAATATTATAATGATAACAATCTAGTTGCTAGAATAGTTTTCTAAGTTTTGGCGTGATAGTTGTGAGAAGGGAAAGAAATTTAAGTCAGCTACCTAGTAGACGGTATCTTACAGGAGAACATATAAGGAATTATTTTATTTATTTTTCAAGATACAAAAACCTTTGTTAGTTCTGTTCGTCTTTGAATACATAATGTAGGCTGAAATGAAGTGTAATATTCATATACTAAAAAACAGAGTTTTTAAGTTGTATTTTAAAAAACTGCTACCTCTCAGCAATAGTATCTTATTGGGTACCCTCACTGCAGTCACCAGTTGATGGCAGAATGAAAGCTCACCATAAGCTTGGCTTGCCTTTTAGGGCCTCATTCGTAGAAGACATAGGTCTTCAGAAAGCTACTGGGGAGCAAAATAGGTTCAATCTTTAGTGCTCCCCACCCTGGTAGATTTCTTGAGTGATAGTGATTACCACATATGTTTATGGATCTGTGAGCTATCTGCATCCCCCAGATGTCCCTGACCAGATGTTCATTGCCATTTCCGTTGAGGTGATAGAGCTTGTCACCTGGTAGTAGGTGGAGAAGCAGGCCTTTGGTTTTTGATGTCTTCTTCTTAAATAAACTTTCAAAAGAAAAGGAAATTCTGTATAAGAATATATTCATACAAATGCATGTGCTTTCTTTCTTTGGCCTTTCAGGTTAAAAACAAATTATGTTTGAAATTACTAAAGATACTAAATAACTGCTTCCTTTTCCAGCTCAGAAGATAAGATAACAGTCCACTTTATAAACCGAGATGGTGAAAAATTAACAGCCAAAGGAAAAATTGGCGACTCTCTTCTAGATGTTGTGGTTGAAAATAATCTAGATATTGATGGTTTTGGTAAGTGTGAAACATTCTCTAAAGTTCATAAGTGAAACTACTAAATAGGTTTCTTTTTTAAAAAGGAATTTTAATCTATAGATTACTAGGTGAAATACTGAAATTCAAGATGTGTTAGTGTTATATTTTCACTTTTAAAGACTGATAGAGTGACATTTTTCAAATCTTTAAAAAGAATTTAAGCATTGTCAGAAATCTACTGTGGCCTTATTTCCTTATTTTTTACCTGCGTGATGTGAAGCAGAGGGTAGCAGATAGGGTTAAAAGATACCAGGTTAGAGATGGGTTAAAAGATACCAGGTTAGAGATAAATTATTGCAGAGAGGTATTTAGTTTTTAGTTGTTTTAAAAAAAATTTTTTTTTTGGTGGTACTTGGGATTGAACCCAGGGCCTTTTGCATGCTAGGCAAATGCTCTACCACTGAGCTGTGTTGTGTCCTCAGCCTTTTTTATTTTATTGAATTTTTTAACACTTTTATTAGTATGTTTGCCATACATAATGATTACATTTGTTGTGGGAAGTTTGTACATGTACATAACACATTTTAATTCCTTTTACTTCCCTTTCCCTTCCATTCCTTCCTGCTCCTTCCAACTCTTGTTTTCCTTCCCATTTGCAAAAGCTCTGTTTCCATTTTTTCAATTCACTTTTTAAAACCCTTTTCCTTTCCTTCCTTTTTCCTTTATCCTCCCTCCATCTCTTGTTCTCCCCTTCACATTTAAAAAAGATTTCCTATTTCCTATTATTTTTGGTGTTCTAAGTTGCCCAGGCTGGGCTTGAATTTATAATCCTCCTGCCTCATCCTCCTGAGTAACTGGAATTTTAGGTATGGACCACCATATCTGGCCTTTGAATTTATTCTTAAATGTCAAAAGCCATGAAGGGTAACTTATCCTAAAAAGTGTGTTACGTAGAAAGTTTTGATTTTTATATTTCTAAGTATATTTCTTACCCATACGTATATACGCAAAGCCTGTGTTTGGGCAGTGGACCTCTTGTATTTTCTCAGGCATGTCCTGTGTATCACTTGTCAGTTTCCCTTAAACACCATCTCCATCTAGAATGCTCATTTTCAAAGAGGGGTCCCTTCCCCATTGCCATTCATGTGTCAGTCTCGGGAAATGCAGATTCTCAGGCCCCCATCAGATTTTCTGATTCAGAGTTTGGGGTAGTGTCTAGCAGTGTGTATATTTTAACTGTCTGCTCTGTGATTCTGATGGTGAACGTTCAAGTTTGAGAGCTGCTGGCCTAGAACGAGGTCTAAAGACCATAACCGATTGTGCCTTCTTTTTTTTTTAAGAATAGGAAGAATTTATTTAGAGAAAGATAGCTTTTGTCTGAGAGGGACAGAAAAGGCCCAGAAAGTAGGTTGCCCACCAGCTCCACTTGTCAAGGGTATTTTATTGAGCAAAGCCACGAGGTGAGCCTGGCTTAAGGTGGGACAGAACTCTAATCAATCAATGAGATAACAAGTCTAGTTGCTTAGTAATATTGATCCAATGGCAAATCATAGGATGGGTGTGAGGTTGGACAAAACTATGGTCAACCAATAAGTATACAGTAAGTGTAGTTGCTAGGGTAATATTGATTAAGTGGGGATCAAATGGGGAAACAAGTCATGTAGCAAGCGCACATAGGCAGATAAGGACTTTCCTGGAAGGTGTGGGTTAAGGAGATACAGTCCTCCACCCCAAGGTGATCAGTAACTACTTAGAATGTCAACTACTGCTGTTCATCCCTCAGGGAAGAATATGGGTGAGTAGTTCTTTTTCTTGAAGCCTGGCTTTCAGTGAATATGTCTTCAGCCACAGTTGTCTTCTACATTGACCTCTCTAGGGATCAGCCCTGTCTGACTGCCTACAATATTTGTGCCAAACTTAGCTATCTATAATATTCCCCCCTGTGAATAAGTACCTCTAACTGCCATGAGGTGGCAAGGGTCGAAGACTGATCTGGCTACTTCCAGCTGAATCGGGTCATAGTTGTGATAGGTAGTCAGAGATACTTCACAGAGGGTCTATGAAACACACTCAATAGGCACCAGGTGTTCTTGTCTTGGGTAGATGTACAGCTTTAAGTCTGGAGGACACAGGCCACAGAAACAAGTATGCATGGACCAAATAATAAAATCAACAGGATAATCATGAATATAGCCAACAAAGTTTTCCACCAGGAAGAGCCAGTAATAGCTTTCCATAAAGAGGATAAAGAGAAGGCCCAGGGAATTTCAGAATCTGACATATTGTTTAGTATCTTGAGCAGCTATTGAGATATTTTAGAAGAATCAGGATTGTACACACAACATTCACCTTTTATAATTGTACAAGTACTCCCTTTGGTAGCTGTTAGAATGTCTAATACCAATTTTGGATAGTGGCTTGCCTCATTAATTTTACTTCTTCATTCAGGAGAGAGAGACCAGCTGCATTGTTATTTAAGGCCTGCTGAGTATAGTTAGTTAAGACCTTGATGCATTGCATGACATCCTCTAACCTTAGGGAAGGCATAAAGATACAAGCCAAATGATCATACCAGTGAAACACTCTCTGTCATAGGCAGGGCAAGTTTGCAGGGGTGCCCATCCTAAGTAATTAGTAAAATTCGGCAATGAGACTGGGAGTGATTTTTCTGCTCCCAACATAAGGGGACCTTTCTACTCAGATGTCCTATAGTGGGAGTTAACCATAGGTAATTATCTCATATCTGAAAATAGCCATCTTGATATCTCTGGTTGTTGGCCCTCAGGATAAGACCCTTTTATTTAATAGGGGTCCTACTAGAGCCTTTAAAGAGGCTTCAGTGGCATTGTTAGAAAAGCTTTTATTATATCTAGGATCATTAGGAATACAGTTTATAGGCCACTCAGCTACCTTGTAATTGTGGCCTAAGGAATGAACCATTGAATTCTGTAACTCATCAGTATAATCTTGTAGTTTATTCCAGTCATCTCCTTGGAATGGGAATACCCACCAAGGAAGTCCAGATGAACTGGACAAGGGGAGCAGGCCATATTCAGCAAGATGTTTGTTGTAATGACTGCATATTTTTGTGCCCACCTTAGAAAGGAATTGCATTTTCTCTTAAGTGGTAAAGTGGTTAGTAAAAGGGCTAAGAGTAGCATCTTAGATTATTTACCTGAAGATTTTGGTTTTTTTCCTTGAACAAGAATCTTAAGTCTTCAATGGATTCACAGGAGTATTCTGATAATGATGGCTCACACTCAGTGACAGTCTCTGGTTCCCAGGACTTGAGTCAGATGTGGTATATGGAGGAGTCCAGACTTACTACCTTAACAGCTGATGGAGTTGACAGGATCACAGTGTATGGTCCTTCCCAAATTGGTCTCTGGCGTGGAATATGGGTTTGCTTTTTTCTTTAAGCTGAGCTTCCGTTAGCTGTTGAAGAGTCTGTTGGAATTTAGCTGGTGATATGACATCCATTAGTAAGGTATCTGTTTCTCTATTGAAGAGAAAATCATTAGTGAGGAAAGGGCATCCATAAAGCATTTCAAATGGACTAAGGCCTAGAATTTGTGGTGTATTTCTTATTTTAATGAGAGCTAGAGGTAGTAAGTGAGGCCACTGTAGGTGGGTCTCCTGAACCATTTTGAGAAGATGTCTCTTTAGGATCTCCTTCATTTTTTGTACCTTTCCTGATGATTGTGGCCTCTGTGCACAGTGGAGGTGAAGAAAATGCCCAGAGCCTGAGAGATACCTTGAGTAACCGTTGCTTTAAAGGAGGCCATTATCACTCTATAAGTTCTTAGGAAGTCCAAATCTGGGGATGGTTTCTGAGACTAAAACTTTTACCATCTCTTGTGCCTTTTCTGTTCCATAAGAAAAGGCTTCAACCCAGTTTGTGAAGGTATCGACCCAGACTATTAAGTATTGAACTCCTTTATTCTTTGGCATATGAGTGAAATCAAGCTGTCAGTAATCCTAGAAACTGTTCTTAAGGGACTGGAACAGCAATTGGTTTTTTTTATTTTTTATTTTAAAGAGTTAAAGATAACGTAATAATAGGGGGGGCTTACCAAATTACAGACCAAATGGTAGGAAATTATCAATGGTTATTGTTTTACATATTATTATCTACAAGATAGTTTCTCAGGAAAACAAAGAGACAAATAATAGTGAGTTACAGACAAAAGAGGTAGGAGATTATCGATAATTGTTGTACTATACTTTGGTATCTTCAAAGTGGCTTCTAAAGAAAATAAATACAACTATACATGAGTGACCTATTGAATAATCATTAACTTTTCTCAATGGTTGTTGTAGGAAACACATAATAATAGACATGCATCCATTTATGAAATAGGATAGGAACAATACAAACATTGCAGAGTTATGGATAGATTAGTAGGAAAATATCAATGGCTGCTGTAATACATGGTGGTATCTTCAAAGTGGTTTCTCAGGAAGACAGATACGCAAGGACCTAACAAGTAGTTATAGCCTAAGGGTTGTCAAAAATCAAGTGAGCCATCTGGGGCTAAAGCCATTTTTTGTAGCGCTTTCTCTGCAGCCTCCCATCACATTGGGACCCCACAACCAGTTAGTGTCCTCTCCCCAACTGTCAGCACAGGTAGCAGGAATCCTGCTGCAGACTTCTCCAGAGCTCCACCACAGCCTGTACTGTCAGGGGAAGAATGGCTTCCAGGGAGTCTCTGCAGGTATTGTGCAAGGCCCTCCTGGTTTACAGCTTCTGAGCAGCTCTCATGACCCCAGTCCAAAGGACCTCTGACTCCTTGGGCTTAGTCTGCGTTCTCATGTTCTCTGAGTCCTTGTTCAGCAGCTGCTCCTCTGCTGACTGTGGACCTTTCTGGTTCTCAATGGCAGGAGCAAGAGTGACCCGTTGTATGGCATGTATTCTCAGGGGTTTCTCCATGTTTGAATGGTTCATACACGACCGTGGGTGGACATCTGCAGCTGGTGCATGGTGGGCCAGTTGTGTCATTGTTTCTCTGTGTTGTGGTAGTTCTCAATTAAGCGGCGGC